ACTTACTCGACCATTAAGCCTACGGGCTACATTACTTCGAGTTCGAATCACTCACTCGACTAATAAGCCTACGGGCTACATCATCTCGAGTTTGAGCAATCACTCACTCGACCATTAAGCCTACGGGCTACATTACCTCGAGTTTGAATCACTCACTCGACTACTAAGCCTACGGGCTACTCTTATTTCGAGTTCGAACAAACACTCACTCGACCATTAAATATACGGGCCACATTACTTCAGGTTCAAACAATCACTCAACTCGACTACTAAGCCTATGGACTACCTTATTTCGAGTTTGAGCAAGCACTCACTCGGTTATAAAGGCTACAAGATCCAAATTCAATCAAATTGCCTAAAGCATTATGAAAACCTTCATAAGGCATGAATGAAACAAAATCTTCTCAAGGCAGAGAATAAAACGGAGGCGAGTCAGGAAATGAAAAGATCTTTATATATACAAGAATATTTACAATGTCCGAACAGGACGCTGCACAAAAAACCAAAATGGAAACTAAGGGCTAAGTTTCTTTGTTATCTACGGGGGCAGTCTCTTCTCCATAGGGCTCCTCCACGCTCTCGGACCCACTCTTGCTCCCATCATTGCCATCATCATCATCATCACCATCATCATCATCGGAAGCCAAGGCTTCAGCATCGGCTTTAAGCTCTTTTGCTCTTTTTATCTCTTCGGTGAGATCGAAACCTCGAGCATAGATCTCTTTGAGGGTCTCCCTCCGAGATCAGTATTTAGCAAGTTCAGCAACCCAATGTGCTCGAGTATTAGCGGTCTCGGTTGCCTCTCTTGCTTGTACCTGAGCAGCTGTAGCATCCGCCCGATACATGGCCACTAATGCATCTGCATAGGACTTTGTTTTTTCGGTATCAGATTTGGCCTTGGCAAGTTCGGAGGCCAATCAAGCCTCGAGTTCCTCTATTCTTCTCGCTTGAACCGAGTTCTTCTCCTTCATGCCTTGAAGTTGGCTTGCAGTCGATGACAATTGGGCCCGAACAGTCTCCTTTTCTGCAGCAAGACGGTTCATGTCATCTTTCCATCCCATGGTCTCTGCCCTTATTATATCAACTTCCTCACGAAGCTGCCCGATCGTCTCGAGTTTCTGCTGCAGTTGTGAGATCAAAATATTAGCCTCTGATCCTGAATCAAGCCCATGAGTTCTTAATATTATCATTACCTACTCGGTCAGGTCGGTCTGGTCTTGATGAGCCTTGGCCAACTCAGCTCGAAGGCCTTTGATTTCTTATTCTCTTTGCCCGAAAAGCAGTCTGAGGGCGTTCCTCTCCTCCGTAACCCGTCGGAGGTCGGCCTCGAACCGATGCAGTTCAGCGCGAGACCGAGAACATGATTCTCGATGAACCGCCACGGCCTGCGAAGAAAGTAGAAAAGAAGTTAGAAAAGAATAGCAAACATAAAAGTAATATCAACGAAGAGAGTTAAAGCTTACCCGATTAAGAGATTATTGCACTTCGCAGAAAAGGCCCGACACATCACTAGGGCCAGCAGCGTCCTCGACTCAAGTAAAAAAAATTACAGAAGGGGTCCTCCCCTTCATGAGACCGGCTCATCTCGAGGGCCCCCAAAACTTGGGCTTCACGAATCGCCCCTTCAAAAATGGCAGGGAGAGTGGGTGAGTCTCCGATTTCTATTTCCCCAAGCGACTCGCTTGGGGCGTTCTCCGTAGTTCGGAGAACTTCGGGACCAGCCCCTTCCGATATACCCACCGTTTGTTGACTTCGGTGGGAAGCATCCTCGATCTCTAATAATTTGGGGACTCTGCCCGAGCCTTCCTCCGATATCTCCTCAGTCTGAGGCGGAGCTTTATAAATCACCATTGATTCAGCTGCCTTTGGGGCATCGATGGTTTTCTTCATTCGGGCCACCAGCACGGACCCGTCGTTTTCTTCTTCTTCATCTTCATCCCTTAGACGCAGAACTGATTCTACAGTCAAAGGAATGGTATTCTTCCTCGGCTTACGAGCCATCCTCATCTTCAGTTTTGGATCTTCGGAGGCGGAGGACCTTTTTCTCTTATTATCCTTCACCGGCTTTGGATCAGAGGCCGAAGCCTCTTCCTCGACGGATGAGGGCCTCAAAACCGCATCTCTGCCCATACCTACATACAGGAAAATTGATTTAAGTATATGGAAAGCATCTCGTTCGAACTACCAAAGATACGAGAAAGAGGCTCACCATGTTTTTTGGCCTCCCATCGGCCCTTTGACAAATCACGCCACAAGTGCTCGGCATATGTGGAGGTTGAAGCTAGATCCCGTTCCCAGTTCTTGAGATCGGGGACTGCACCGGGCATCCAAGGAACCGCTGCATCACAAAAGGGGGATATCGGTGAGAAAAGGAATGAAGGGGCAAAATTGTAGGAGATAACAATAGAATTACACTTACGCTGCATGTTCCACTCCTCGGGAAAAGGCATCTTTTCAATCGGAATCAGGTCCGAAGTCTTTACTCGAACGAACCTGCCCATCCAGCCTCGATCCCTGTCCTCATCTATACTCGATAACAGAACCTTGGTAGCCCGTTGCTGAAGTTTTATTAACCCGCCTCGAAAGAGGTGAGGGCAGTATAATCGGATGAGATGGTCGAGGGTGAAAGGCATCCCCTCGATTTTGTTCACGAAGTAACGGATCAAAATAACGATCCGCCAAAAAGAAGGATGGATCTGGCCTAGGGTTATTTGGTATTGACGGCATAAATCAATAATAACAGGGTCGAGGGGACCTAACGTGAAAGGGTAAGTATACACACTTAAAAACTCTTTCACGTAAGTGGTGATATCTTCTTCAGAAGACGGGATTACTATTTCTTTGTTCTCCCAATTGCAATCTTTCTTTAGCTGATCGAGGTGTCTCTCGGTTATCGAACACATATACCTCGATACTGGCTCACATCGGCCGGGAATCGACGAGCCTTTGTCGACCTTAAAATCAGACGTAAGAACACACGCCCCAGGAATGCATTCCTCAGGCCATGACTCCACCGGTGTTTTGTCGGCGACAGGCTGTGAAGAAGAAGCTTTTTCTTTCTGAAGAATGGGTTTTGATGTTTTCGCCATTTTTGGATTTAAAGATCGAAAATAGAAGGAGGTAACAAAGATTTTGTATTTTTGAAGAAAGATTTTGCAGAGAAGAATCACAGATTTGCGAGTGAATTCAGAAAGTATGAGAAAGAAGTTAGAAAATTTAGAGTTTGAAGATGTAAAAGTGATTAAAAGTGAAAAAAAGGGTTATTTATAGGTATAACAATGGCGGTTCAATTTCGATAATGGCCGACCACCGTCTGACACGCATTAAATGTCTTGAAAAACTAAACCGACGGGACAGCTATCACATGCGTCATGATCGAGCCCGATGTAAACGTCAGTATATATCTAATCGTACCGTTAAAAAATCATGTCGTTTCTCGCTACATCCTTCCCAAGAAACGAGGGGATTATCTGTATACGGTCAAAACCGGTTAGTCCTTCGTACGAACTGGCCGAAATGGTAATGCATTGGATCGGAGAAACATCTTCATAATATCAGGTTGAGGTCCGAATTCAGGTCACCAAGCTTCGAGCCCTAGGGACCGATCAATGTCGAGCTCGATATCATTATCGAGCTCGAATCCAAATCGAACTATGATGCAAAGTGATGTTATCGAGCTTATGAGACAGAGACCAACCAACACTGACCCCGAATCAATACAAGGATCCGAGTCAGAATCGAGCTCGAGTCAAGATCGAGAGCTCGAGTCAATATCGAGCTCATAGACAAGAGCCGTTGCAATCCCATTAGAGGAGAGAATCCTGGCAGGAATTATGGAAAAGCTTTATTTATCATGGGTCTTACACTATGTATTTTTAATTATATCTAAAGTGGGATCCCTCCACTATAAAGAAGATGATTATTATTTATGTAAGGACCAAGTTTTGGCATACATTATAACTGAAATATCATACACTCCTATATGGAAGAGTTATCTTTTTTTTTTTTAGCTTCATAGATTGATTTATCTTGGTTAATCCATAAATTATTTTTTTTTCAACTTTGCTTATTTTTCATTCTCTACGGTCAAACAGTCGATATTTCTATTCATCCTTACGATTTGTGTCAAGTTACATAACATACCCTTAGAACTACGTACAAATTTAACTCTATCCATTTTTCGGGTAAACAAACATAAAAGTTGCTTCCTGCTATATTTACTAGCACAAGCCTGATTTTACTCTTTATATATTCTACTAGAACTAGAATAATAGTGCATCTATTTCAAGTTAAAACTTATGAGTACAAGTTTTATATATGCACTGACGTATGTACTCCCTCTGTCTCATATTATATGTCGTGTTTCTCTTTTACACGTCCCTTAAGAAAGATTAATTTAAAAAGGGATTGGACTATTCTATCCTTATTTATATCTTAAGATATAATCTTTCTTCATTGAATATTTATTCTATTTATGAGTTATCTCCATCTCCAAGAACAATTATTACTAAGGGTAAAAAAGGAAAAAATAATAATAAATTTTGTCTTGAACTTCTAAAATGACAAATAATTTGAGACAACTATTTTTAGTAATCACGTCTGTTAATATGAGACGGAGGGAGTAGTTTTTTATACTATAAGGTTAAATTAATCTATAATAATAGGTACCTCTTCATCACAAGACTGTTAAGATAACATAAAAAATTGAATAATTCTGCTATAACGGAATAGATAAATTACGCTGCTAGTGTAAAAATTCTTTACAGTATTGACAGTATACATATATAACTTCCACAGTTTTGATTTGTGTAATCCTAATGATACCATGAATGCTTTACGGCATTCTCAAAAACAGTGGCAGAACCCTTTTCAATGTGATGATATTGATATACTGAAAGGTGTTCTATCCTGTTTGATATAGCGGATATATATAAAGTAAATCTTAGTTTTAATTTTCCTTGTGATGGACCTGAAAGAGAAGGTATATGAGAACAAAAAGATAAACAATGAGAAATTTTAAACTACAAAACGTCCTTTCTGCACCTAAGGATAATTCTTGGACCATGAAAACATCTGTACAAGCAAAAACAGGCTGGATTCTGTGTAGTAATCTCCAAGTTATTCTCCCGAAAGTAAAGCTGATTAATGAGCATAGGACATAAATATTCTGGTTAAGTGGAGAAACACAACAGAAATCTGATGATCATTATACAAACAAGAACTCATTATGTGGTCCTAAAACAGGTTCTTAAAAGGACTTGTGAGTGAATCACTGACATCTTGAAACAGGCCGTAGAGGGAGTATTGTCGAAGGTTTTTAACCTCATACCACGAGTTTAGCACGTCGTCATTCTTATCTGTGCCTGAGAATGCCAATTGTATTCCCACGTTGCAGTCAACGGATCCACCATTGCCATTGCACTTATTATTTGGGACTGCACAATCAGTCTTATTAAGGCAAACAAAAGAACCTCCGGTACATGAACCGCAGCCAAATTTCTTCCAAAACAAGTTCTGAAGAGCTCCTTTTTGAAATTCAAGTACCTAAATTAAAACAGAAGATAGAAGTCAATGATGCAACACAGCTTATGTTTTACCATTTGTTTACGAAACTACCCAAAACTTACCAGAGTGAAGCTTGTAATGGTGTGAGTATTGTCTGCTACGAAAGCGGGCAGTGATCTGGCAGCATATTTGCGTCCAGCAAAGGCAACCATATAACTACCAGCTTTGCTCTGAGAATTTTGAACAATCATTAAAGACAATTGTGCATTTTGAATAGTAACTATTACTACTAAAAAACATTATAAAGACCAGCATACTGAACAGTGATTGAAGAACATGTTGATAGTTATTTAGTCAAAATGCTCGCAAATTTTGTTTGAATATCGCTTGTGCGGGCCAGCGAGCAGCACGTCTAGTCCACAAGCACAGGTTACTGAGGTAATCCTGCTAGCTAAGGATGAACAGATGGGATCACACCCAATTTTGTAGCTTAAGATTTGGTTATATTGACTATATTTCATGATAAACATTCCATAATCTTAGAACGTGGCCGATTCTCCAGAAGTCTTATATTTATGTTTTATACTTTGATCAACTAGAGTGGCTTAGATATAAGAATGGGCTTCTGAAGAGCATCTATTTCTTCCTAAAGCTTCATCATTTTTCCTCAACTGTGTCCACCTATTTGTATATGCTACATCTGATAGACAGATATTATCCCCACTGGCACTTAATTCAGAGAACGAATATTTCTATGGGAAGTATGAATGCCGATTATTTTCCTACTCAAGATAAAACTCACAAGGAGTAGAGAACCCGCAAAAGAGAATTCCAAAGACTGATTTACCGTAAACAGCCTCTCTACCTTACCAGGTAGGGGGTAAGGTCTGCGTACACACTATCCTTCCCAAACCCCACTTGTGGGATTAGACTGGGTCTGTTATTGGTAGCTCAATAATCTGTAATAGTTGAAGTGAAAGTTGACAATGGTCATCATCTTTCAAGTGGAAAAGGAATTATTGTAAACTAATCTTGGGAAAAAAATTCATGGTTGCCATATGATTGGTCTAAGCATCTAGTTGGTTCAATTATTGAATGGACGAACAGAAGTTAGATGAAACAGGTTGGTAATGAACAGGAGAAAACAAAAGCTTGAGATACTTTTGTCTGCTGTATCTTTGTTGGAACCTAGAAATACTAGCAAACATGTTAGAAAGTTAGGTGGAAGGTGACAAATTCCTATTGAATTACCTTGTCGTTTCTTCCCAAATGAAAGATGAATCTACATCATAGATGGAGATTGAACATTCAAGTAAAATGCACTCAAATAATAGTTAGTCCTTAAGGCAAAAGATCAACCATTTTAGTTTGCAAAACAGGCACATATTTGCTCTCGTCCTGACACAGTGACCAGAATTTCACGTATATCTCGCGTGCAGTAGGGTGAGAGGAGTGTGGGGACAAATCCACCACTTTAGCCTTCAGGCCGATTTCTCGTGTGCGCGAGCCCAACCTCTTCACTAGCTCTTTACTAGATCACTAAAATAGAATTCCTTATAAAGTGAAAAAAGAGAGCTCTTTGTAATCCACGAGAGACACTTCCTTTTGAGATACTATTCACTTTTTTTCCTAACAATTAGCTAGTCGGACATTTATAAGAGATAAATTTAGTATGTATGAGGACGTACAGGATTGAAGTCGCTGCTAGTGATTGTGAGGAGTGAAATCTCATCCACTTTGGGCCTAAAAACAGCCAGTTGAGCAGAATTGGCAGAAAGGGAGAGTCGTTGGTCACAAGGAGAGAGCTGTGTTCCATTGGAAAAGAACGATTCCTTAGAAGAAAACGCAAGCCCAAAAGTGAAACCATCCCATCTCTGAATTTTTGTGTCTGAACATGGATCAAAAACAGGATTTGTATCTCCACCGTGCACGTTGCTCATCACCATCATCGTCAATACCAATATCAACGCCACCATGATTCCCATCTTCACCAAATCATTAACAACAAAAGAAAGAAAGAAAGAAAGAAAAAGCAAAAAATTAGTTTACAGAGGAAATGTTCCAAAGGTAAGACTTTGCAATTTTTCCAAGTTGTGGTAAGCAATTAGAACAATGATTAAACTCAACAACACAACAAGTAAAATACCACAAGCGGGGTATGGAGAGGGTAGACTGTACGCAAATATTACCCTTACCCGGACGAGTAGAGAGATTGTTTCCGGAAGATCCTCGGCTAAAAAAACGAACAATGATTAAACTCATAACAAAGAAACACAACACAAATGAAAATCATAACAACAAGGGTGGGAGGCAACCTGGTTTAACAGGACATCAAATATTCTAATTTAGCTACCATCAATTCATCAACAACTTATGTTTAGTTATTCAATTACTCAATTAATTAATTTTTAGAACCTGAATTGAAATTTTAGAGGATTCATGGTATTATTTAAGAACCCCAAACCTCCTCCAAGGAAAATAACAACAACAACAACAACAACAACAAAAAATCCAGTTTAAGGGTTTGGGGAGCATATATGCAGACCTTACCCTACCTTCGAAAAGACAGAAAAGTTATTTTCGGTATCCTCGGCTCACGAAAAATAAAAAGAGGGGCAATGACAAGCAAACCAATAAGATGTTTGTTTATAAACACAAAAATTTATGAATTTATGCTAATTCCAAAAGTCAAAACAAGGAATCAATAGGAAGCAAACTTACAAAAACAAAGTTACCCCTGAGAAAAAAATCTGATGTTGTTCAATCCCTTAGAACCTTTTCTTGATATTGATCAAAGTTTTAAGAAAACCGTTTCCTTATGTGGAAAACTAATTATTACGCCTAGTAATAGATATATTACTAGTTACTAGAAGAAAAAGAAGAAGAAAAAAACTGAAGGGATCAAAATAATAAGGAATTAAAGGTTTTAGAAATTGGTTGTTGAAAATATTTGTTTTGGTAATTTCGACGTGTGATGGGTTTTTGGGATTCGTACTTGCAAAGAAAAGTTTCTTAAGGTAAAGTACACGAGAAAGCCGGCAATTGGGAGGGGGGAAGTGGATCTTATTTTTTTGTCCTAGAAACGGTTATGGAAGTTGGCGTTTGAAACACGACAATAAGTGATGTTACGTTGTTGACTACAAAATTCAATGTCATACTTTGTCTCCGTGCGCTACTATATTAATGGGCTTTGTGTCCGTTTTCGCGACATTGGGCTCTTGGGCTAATACATCGCTATCACTTATAGCCCGCGGCCCAAAACTATTTATATTTTATAATCGTAAAAGTATGTACGCATATATATATATATTAATCTTATGATACGCGCGTTGCGTGTGTACCATATTTCAATAAATATAAATTTTAAAAAATTATATAGATAATATATTAAAACTTGTGTTTGAGTTATAAAATTAAAATTAATAAAAGTGTAAGTTTCTAAAAATTATTGATTCTAATTAGCTAACTTTCAATGAAAGAAGAAAGTCCCAGGACAAAAATACAATTGCTCTATTTCTATGATCAGTAAGAAATGTCATATGACTTATTTACAATATATTAGAAAAGATGAAATTATTATTGCAAAAGATATTATTCAACCGCTATATTTTGATCAATCTATTTTTTCTTCGTTTTGGAGTGAGCTTTCTTTCTCTGTTCAAGTGCATAACCATGCATCCGAATATTTTCTTTATGGAAATAAGAGTCTAAGATTATAATGGAATTACTTACAGTTAATGGATTCTAAAAGGAATATGTTAATCTATGAGCGAAAAATATGGAGCTTGTGTTAAAAAAATCCCATATACTTTGCATGAAATTAGTTACACCCCTAAACAAATTATAGTCTTAGTTACCCTCGAAGCTGGTTATTTGATAGTTGTTATTCGTGGACATTGATGTGGTAAAGAGGATGGATATATACACTCTACTTTAGGCGCGTGAAAGTGAAGAAAAATTTAAAAAATCAACTTTTAGAAGTAATATTTGTCCATGGTTAATATAATTGTTTATTAGTTAGAATATAATTGTGCATTTCTTCTTATTTCATCTTAATATAAAATACATACTTTATCCAACTTTGTATTTTTTTATAGATACAATGGCTATTTGATTCAACTACATATTTCATTTTCTTGGGGCTAAATTTGTGAAAAACTTAGCTAGAACTTCACCATAAATAAAAATAGTTTTAGCTAAAATAATAATAAAGTACTAATTGCGTATTATTTGTTATTTTTCTTTAGATACAAAAGACTATTATTTTAATTGTGTATTTTTATTTTCAGGTCAAGTCAATAAAAAAATTGGCTAGAACTTTATTGTTTTCTTGCTTAATTAAAAAGCTGTAGCCAAAATAACGGAGTTACAATTGTTTTCAAAAATCCATAACATTTTTGAGATGCTTAAATCCACCTGCTACGTTGTTTAAGTAAATAGAACAGTTATTACAGTATATGTTTTTAGTTTTTTTACAGGCACACACACTCTTTATTTTTCTTCGAAATTATTTTCTCAAAATTTGGAAAACAATTCATATTCTGAGGCAAAAGACTTCTAGATTCATTTAATGACTATTGTTTTGGAAGATTCGGAAAAGTTAAGTAATAATTCTTATAAGAAAAAATAATTCAAATAAGAAAATAATTTATATTTATATATAAGTAAAATTTCACTCGATATTAAATTTCTAAGTATTAGGGTTTTTTTACCTAACTCAAATAAGAAAAGATTTAATAGTCAAAATTTAAATTAAATTAAAAAGCCTAAATACTAGAAAAATAATTAAATGACTATTTTGTCCAGTGTGAACTTTATGTTAAAATGACTATATAGATACATTTAGGCTTGTGCAGTTTTATGTTATTACATATGACTTTAATTGTACATGAACTATTTATTTTGTATGATAAAAATAGAAGTCTTTAAAATGCGTATTTAATTGTTTATCGTTAAGACAATTTTACGTGCTTAGTGTCTTGAATGAATTTATATCTTCTCTGTGGTGCTTCGTGATGAACATGATCTCATATAAATTATTTGCTGATAACGTTAAGCATCCGAGATGTTACATATATGGATTTATTTTCAATTAGTATACTTTATATAAGGTAAAAAATTGATAGATTTTAAACTCTTAAATAGTAGGACTTCCTACCTAATTTAATAAGAAAAAATATTATAGGCAAAAATTTAGGTGATCCCAAGATCTTAAATATTAGGAAAATGACTTAAGTTATAATTTTATCTAACGTGAAAGCTATTTTTAAAAGGTAAAAAAGGTGAACGACATTTCGCTAACGGTTTTCGTATTTTTAATGTAGTACTAGTCTCTATGTACGTGTGTTGCACGTATCTCGCTAATCATTAAAAGAAAGATGAAAATCATTTTCTTCCTTATATTGAAAATCAAAGTTTTATCTAACTCTAAACATTAGATATTTTTTCATGTTATTTCTCAAAATATATCATTTAACCGATGATTTGAGAAAGACATTGTCAATGTCAATCAAGTTACAATTTTAGAAATTAAGACAATATCATTGTGCCCTTTTGATTGTCAAGTTATTCTTCCATGACTTTTTTTTATTCCATGATGTAAGTTTTTAATTTGTACGTCGCGTAGTTATATGTCTTTGTTCCTTGTCATCTTTGTATGTACATGTTTAGAGTGAATCAATATTTGAGTGTTAAGCTTAATCTAGAAAGGTTTTAGTCTTCGAAGTAAAATCGGCAACTCTCACTAGCTTATTCATAGTAGAATTCAAATACTAACGGTGATTATAATTTTATCCTACATGAATAGTTAAATCCTAAAAATAATTTGCTAATTTGGCGCTTTATTCTTATATATTCTTTTCCATCATTTTATTTTTCCCTTGGTCCTTAAAGTATGATTTCTTTATTTTCCTCAACTTTGCGACCAAATTTCTTAATACAACAATGTAAAATTTTTCCTACAAATTTCAGCTTCATCTAGAGGTTTAGTTTTCCACTATCGTCTAATCTTCTTAGAACGTATTGCACATCATATTCATATGGTTTATTTTTGAGAATTACATTAATGAAAATAAAATACTTCACATCCAAATCTAGATTATGGACATTTCTTATATATTGTCTCAATATATGTCAATTAAACAGTGTTTTAGAAAGATAATTCCAATTTACCCCTTCGATTATCAAATTATTACTTTATGTAAAAAAAAAAAATTTATTTCATGATATTTTCGTTGTCTTTCTTAAAGAAAAAAACGTATGTCCGTAAATCTTGTACATTACACGTTGTGCGTTTCTGTTCTCTGTTTGATGTAGTTATAAGAAAAAATAACTTAATGACCTGCATATAAAGATTTAATGAAATATGTGATATTTTAAATTATTAATTCTAGATCGGCTTAGTTGTAACATACCGGAGGAGAATGATTCACTGTCTTTTTTTTTATTTTTTGGTTATATGCTAATATTAGTTTATATGGAATAAATCAAAATCTCATATATTTACAACAAAAATAAAAAAAATTCTAAATCTCATACAAACTGGGGAACGAAATATATGAACCATACATATTGTTGAAAGAAAAAAAAGAGCTATTATCCTCTATCCAAGTATAGTGGCGGAGAGTAGCAGTCCATTAAGTCCGAATAGAATTGTACCCAATATCAACTTTGTAGGGATGGCGTATTTTTAGTTTAAATTGGAAAGGATTTTTATTCCTGGAAAATTTACAATTATATCCTTAAATTATATAAATATTTAAGAGTATAAAAGTCAATCAATATTTCAGGGATAATTTAATCGTATTTTTAGTTTAAATTGGAAATGATTTCCATTCTTGGGGTAATTTACAATTATATTCTTAAATTATATAAATATTTAAGGGTATAAAAGTCAATCAATATTTCAGGGATAATTTNTATATATAGCTATTATTTTGAGAACAGTAATACAATATCATTTTACAATATTTACCTACATATGTTTGCGCAACAAAATTAACGTCACTAATATAAGGATACCGACGATTGTTAGCTCCCATGATCCGTATACACATTAATTCTAGAGTCCAGCTGTTATTCGTTAGATTTAGATGGGTCTAAGGTTATTCTCAGAATTTTGTGCAAATGGTATTGACCTATTGTACAATAGGGTTTGGTTTGCAGATGATTTGGGCATGGGATGTTGAAGTTCTAAAGTTTTTACTCCCTATTACAATATTTTACATTGTGTTTTGAGATGGTGTCGGTCTGTTGTATGTATACAGAATTTTTTTTAAGGACACACAATGCTAACCTATTATAATCATTTAATACGTTAGCAAAACTATCTCAGACAAAGTTTGGGGAGTTTTGATGCATTGATAGAGAGACTATGAAGGAAAAATATTTTATTATAAATTTCTGAAAGCTCTCTACAGTTCTCGCAAATCTTCACACATAAAATAAGTTAATACCTTTATTTATAATAATACGAAACTTATTTTAACTAGAAACATGAAAGCCTATTCTTATATTAATTCTAACTACAAATCTTATTTAGTCATGAAATAAATAAACTAGCAAATATCAAATCCTAAACGGTTAAGATTTCCTACTGTAACTTTGAATTAGTTTTCCAACGGACCATAAAAAGAAAGAGAGAGGGAGACCAATTAGAGCTGCATATGCTGAGAACGGATTGGGAGTAATCCAAGAAAGAATTTGAGCCTCTAATGCAAATGTTAATACTATAGGTGAAGTAATACAAGACGTTATTAAATTATTTTGACTCTTACACAAGTGATAAAGAATTTGATCATAACGGTTTTATATTAAAAAGGGATCTCATTTAATGGAGTTTCCATCTTACATAAGATTGTTTAAAATTAAATGTGTTAGGACATAGAAGGTCATTTCATCCAATTATTGTTGGTTCAATTAAGAAAGATTTTAATAAGATTTTTGACTTTTGAATGAATTAAACTGATTAGTGTATTATTCGAATGTGGAGAAAACCCATTTTGTAGCCAGTATTACAAATTTTAGGAGGTATCAACATTCTATAAGTTAGGCTAATCCAGCTCCTTTT